AGCCTAATCCAACTAAATGTATTTTAGATAAGTTTACAATAATTTAATAAACACAATGAAATGCATTTTTTTTGTTAGGTTCAGAATGATTTTTCCGAAATTATTGCACAAATTTTCGCTTGTCTTATCCGGGAAGAAGAGAGTTGCTATTTAAGCCGTTACATGGTAACGGCTTGACAAAACTCCTGGAGAGCGAAACGTTCCCACAATAAAATGTCTGGTTAGTTGCATTTGTGACCTTTTACCTAACATATTGTAAGTACTTTTACCAACATTATTACTAAAACTTTGCCAGGAAGCAGGACAAACGTCTCCTGACGCTGGTTTGAAGAAAATGGTGGCCCACCGAAAAAGCTTGCGATCATCAGACCGGTCATCAGACTCTCTGACCGCGGGTTCAAACCCCACCCGTGGTATGGTTTGGTTAGCTTCTACATGCAAACCCTCATTATGAATAGAAAGGCAATTTTATATGACTTAAAAATGCTTTCCTGATTTAAAGGAAATTTTACATTTCCTTCGAGGAAATTTTTAATACGTCTTTGACGACGGGAAATTCACTCATAAAAATTGTTGCATTTGTCTTGTTTACGATGTCACTGGATTTCATTTAGTGTTTTCGCACTAAATTTTTTGGTATATGTATATCTTTGCACATTTTAAAAAACAAGACTGAATTTTTAGACGGAGGACGGAAGTAAATTTAATTAAATTTTATTGAAGGACAAATAGAAAAGTGGCTACAGAGAAATAGGCATGATTGTAAAGAGAAGAAAATGAAGTAGAGAGAATAGCAACACCAGCAACAGGAGCAGACGAAGGAGCAGCAGAAGCAGAAACATCTGCGCAAGCTGCAGCAGAAGCAGAATAAACAACAGCACAAACAGCAGAAGCAAAAATAGCGGCAACAGCAGCGGAGTAAGAAGCTGCAAAAGAAGAAACAACAGTAGCAAAAGCGGCAGCAGCAACAGCAACAGCAACAGCAACAGCAACAGCAGCAGCAACAGCAGCATCAGGAGCAGCAGCAATGATAATTATAATGGAAAAAAGTGACATCAGCTGTGACTTCATGGAAGCTACTCAGTCCTTATGTGGCATGAAGTACCATGGGAAATGAAACATAAATACAGAGTAGAATATTGTTCAAATGCAAGAACTAGTTTATAAAATGCATGAGAAGACTAAGGAATGAGGAGAGAGAACATGCGGCGTACAGGCCAGCCATAAGTCAACAAATGCAGCCTCTGTTGAGCCAGAAATGTAAGTGTGTATCAGTCTTTCTCTGGCTGTTTATGTCTGTCCGCGTCTGCGAGGATTCGGTGACAGCGAGGAAATTCATTCGGGTTGAGCTAGCTCAGATTCACTTCCTCAGTGTGTTAAATTTTAATCTAACGTGTTTTTGTTTATTGTGTGATGAGACAGAAAAAAGGGAAAGGGAGAGAGGGAGAGAGAGAGAGAGAGAGAGAGAGAGAGAGAGAGAGAGAGAGAGAGAGAGAGAGAGAGAGAGAGAGGGAGGGAAGAGGGAGAGAGAGAGAATTACGGTGAAACTGACATAATAATGATTATCCATTTAATCTTCCTGATGCAGCGAATTTGTTACAGGTTACGTCGTTCAACGTTGTTTCACAATACTCAAAGATCACGTAACTTAAAAAAAATGTAAGCTCTGAATTTCGTTAACGAGTCATCATATTATCAACTTCATGTTTGCGTCCTGATCGAACAAACAGTGACCTGAGGGGACTCTTAATCGGATTTAAATAATCTCTGCGATAGAATCATCCATGGATTGCAGGAAATTCCATTTATTATTTCTTGGAAATCGCTGAAGGAACAAGAGCATCAGCATCCTTCATCATCAGAATCCCATTACTAGGTGCGTCCTCCAGAGGAGATGAGTTCCATTTGAGATGCTTGCAGCTTCCCACGGCCTTAAGGAGCCACCTGGGTACGACCATGAGAAGAACTGAGGCCGGCTTGTTTGTGTTACATTACGCTGCTTTGCGCTAAGTCAACAAGTCCAGGCTGCAATTGCTGCCTGTCTGCCACCACCTTATGAAGACAGCCAAGCTGCCACCACCACGTCTCTCTGGTTATTGCCTGGCTGCCGTTACTGTCCACCACCATATCAATCACCATGTGAAGGCATCCAGATTGTCAATGTTATCACTACCACTTGTCACTACCACTGTTATCACTGCTGCCACCACCGCCATCACCACACCCTTATGAAAACCAGGCTGCCATTGCTGCCACCATCACTACTTTCAAGAAGACAGCCAAGCTGGGATAGCTTCCGACACCACCACCTCAAGGGGACGGCAAAGCTGCAATTGATGACTACCACTGAGACATTCTTCAGCACTTTGCAGAAGAAAATCTGAGTGTGAAACCGAAATAAACAATACTATTCTTATCTTCTGTTTAAATATCTCCAGAGGGAAGTGATTGTACCATTTTAATATGATAAAATTCTTCGTTTTGTCCTCATCTAAATATCCTGTTTCACAGTCAGACCAAATTAATCCGCTTTCAAACTCTAATTCAACGTGTTGTTTGAAATTCTGATTCACCATCATCCGGGAGTTCCATGTTTCACACTGATAAAACAATCAGGTTTCAATCCCTGATCGAACCCCAATCCACCTGTTCTGTGTCATAGATTATTTCAGTGCTATACAGTGGCGTATTGTTGTTATTATCACAGGTTGTGCACTGTGTTGCCGTGCAGAACCTGTTACTGTCACAATATTTCCTAACAGGGGGCAGAAAAATTAGTTTCTCATTATGATCTATGATTATATTATTGAGTGAGCTTCATATTTATAATGAATTTACCATCTTTGGTAAGTCTGAAGCGATCAGTTAGCTCACACAATATATACGCCCCTGGTGCTATACACAAAAGTCTGGTATATAGCATTTTTTTCCCCCTTGCAGAAGTAAAATAAAATTTTATTTGTTGATATTGCGTGAATGTTTGATTTTTCTCTTGTATGTTTTGCAGGAGAACTGTTATGAGTATTACTTAAGTGGTTGTTAGAAAGGACGTTATAGGCGAGTTGTATTTATTTAGTTATTCGTCTGAATTTGTGTGTGTATTTCTCTTGCTTTTTTTTGCAAGTGTGCACGTGTGTGTGTGTGTGTGTGTGTGTGTGTGTGTGTGTGTGTGTGTGTGTGTGTGTGTGTGTGCGTGCGCGACTGTGAGACTGCGTTTTGGGGTATTTCTTGACCGTTCTCTCGTTTGTTACAAACATGTTAAGATCATAACAGCGAAAACTTCTCCCTTCCACCAAGTTAGAATCAAAACTTTTATACACAACACGGTCGTTACAAGAGTCTCTTCTCCACTACCATAAGAACACAGCCTTCATCCACCACCATGACGGTAAAAGATTCCCTCTTACACATTGACACTCTCAACATTTCTCCACCAAAATTATATTGCATTTGTCAGGTTGAAATAAAGCGTTATTTGTAAACACTTGGATCATTACGTCGTATAGCATGTCCTCTTCAGCTAAGGAAACCATGAGGACACAAACAAAAGTTTCAGAAGAAATTTTTACCGGGGGAACGTTGAACTCTTCATCACAGAGCGAAACATTATGCCAATAAAAGTTCGCTTTGAAACTTTACTCTTGTGGGTACTATGTATGCCGTTTTAAGAGGTCTTGTTCAAGGCCCAATAGTAATAGTTCAAAGTCTTTGTCAATTTTTATTTGTGAATCCTTATACTTTTAGGACATCGCTATTACAGATTTGATTTATTTTTTACATCGTGGTTATATTATCTTCTAAACCTGAAACAGCTGTATTTTTTTTTTACTTTATATTAAGTAATAAAACCTACTACGTTTTACGTTATAAATTTTCTCCCTCTGCTACACTATTTTATTTGCCAACGAGAAGTAAAATTAAGAAAAAAATTGTGTCTTACTACTGCAACTTTGGTTCTTCTTGATTTAGGTTGTATTTAATGAATGAACAAATGTGGGTTACGATGCGCAAGAAGTGCAGTAGGCTCGATCCTCCGTGTGCAAATCGGGATTCGGTTTTCTGTCCAGTCAGGACATTTTGATTACTGTAACACTAGAAATGTTTAACCAATATATCAAAATCACAGTCTAGCGTCCTTAAAAATCACAATCCAACGTCCCTAAAGTCTCAACTCAGGGTTCATAAAATGCAATCTTTAAAAAAAAATCAATGACTTAAAACTTAAAATGTCTCTGAAAATACTATCCGAAAATTTAACCCAAAAATTCCACATATATTTTGCATTATTTACAACTCACAAATTACAAGAAAACTGAAGAGTGTTTTAGTTCTTCAAGAGCCACAATAAGAGTCACGAGAGCTCGAAAATAATCCAAATGCTCTTTCGTTTCCATCATCATTTTCCTGAGTATGTGGAAACTGTTTTAACTACTGTCTGGCAGGACAGTGAGTCGGTTTCTTCTTTTCTTCATCTTCTTCATCATCCTCTTCATCTTCTTCCTCATCTTCTTCATCTTCATCTTCATCTTCTTCATCATACCCGTAGGGGTCATGCAGCCCCTCGGGGCAAGTGGAACAGGGGGTTGGGAGGTAATCAGATTTGATTTAAGGAAGGGAAGAGTAGAGTCAGTCCCTTGGATCAAGAGCTCTTCACCGGCACCAAGGCACCTCTCCCGTGAAGCGGTCGGAAGGAGAGAGAACTTCCAACCTTTCACACAATTGCTTGTTGTTTTTACATTTTATATAAAAAAATGTTAATGGGTCTGTTGATTCTATTAATGAGTCTGTTGATTTTATTAATGGGTCTGTTGATTCTGTTTAAAGGTTCTGTTGATTTTATAAATGGTTCTGTTGATTTTATAAGTGGTTCTGTTGATTCTGTTAATGGGCCTGTTGTTTCTATTAATGGTTCTGTTGATTCTAGTAATGGTTCTGTTGAGAATTCTATTAATCGTTCTGTTGAGGATTGTATTAATGGTTCTATGAATGGTTCTACTTACCGATAATGGTGAGGTTGACGAGACTGGTGTGGGTGGGAGACTTAAAAAAATCCACACGACACTCATACACGCCCGCGGCCTCCACGCCTACGCTCTTAATTGTGAGTGTAGCCGCGTCTCTGCTCACCCTCACTTCTCCGCCCTCCTGCTGGAAACTGGAATTGTGCTGTGGCGCCCGACCATCGTAGCTGCAGAGGAAAACAAAGAGAAAATCACGTAAATGATGGAAAGATTCCTTAGGCGGCGATGAAGAATTGGTAGGCAAATTCTTTCTGAGATCATGATAGATACGGGTAATGATATGGATGAGAGAGTGACAGAGAGAGACAGACTAACAGACAAATGACAAGCATGCTGATCATTTTGTTAGGACAGACGAGAAGACCCCTTGAAGGGTTGGTAGATGAATATCTGTAGACCCTAAAGCGTACGGACGATGGACTGTCTATAGACAGAAGGAGTGAAGCATTTGTTCTCGTGTTGAAGGGGAGCTCACCTATCCTTTGTTACACGATACCTGGGATTTGGGAGGCAGTGAGTATTGCATACCTAACGCTGTTAGACTGAAGCTCTAACTTCTGGGTCCCGCCGAGCAACTAAAAAGTGAGTGTGTGTGTGTACAGGGGAAGGAGGGGGGAGGTTAGTATGCATGTGTGCGAGTGTGTGTGTGCTTGCCTATATGTGTGCTCACCTGTAAGTCAATGCAGGGGTCGAGTCTCAGCTCCTGCTCTAAGCGTCTTCCCGGTAATGGTATTTCCGCTGGTTTCGAGCTCTTTGGCTTCTTGAGCCGTATAGTACCCATTTTTCATGCAATGTATGGAATTCTGCCTCTACAACTTCTATGCCGAGGTCCTTAAACTTAATGACCACTATGAGGCTAAAGAAATATTTCCTAACGTCCCTGTGTCTCATTCGTATTTTTAACTTCCAGCTGTGCCCTCTCTAACAGTCTATCCCTGTCACACTATTGCTTCCTCTCAGTGTTTTGTACGTTGTTGTCATGTCTCCCATGTACTGTCCTCTAAAGTTATCATGTTCAGCTCCTTCAGTATCTCCCCTTGCAAACCTCTACGCTTACAGTTTATTGACATGCTTGATAAGATGTGTATTCCACACTGGTTCTGCATACTCCAAGGTGAGGGGGTAACATATGCCGTATTTAGTGTCGTGAATGACTAACGAAATTCCTAAAAACTAATCTTAGATTTGCCAGACGCTCGCTTTCTATGGAAGTTATTCGGTCGATTACCACCTCAGGAGATATGCTTGATAATATGCTTACCCTGAGGTTATCCTTTGGTGAAGCTTGCAGTCCTTGTCCCACGAGCATGTACACCGTTTCTGGTCTTCTTTACCTTTCTTCATTTTTCATAATTTTGCAGTACCTGGCTTAATTTCGAATAAGCACTTGTCGAATCAGTCCTGTAGCACATCTAGCTCCCTTTGAAGTTTGAATTTTCCTTATTAGTTTCCCATCATCTGTGAACAGGGATACCTCTGACTATTTCTTCTATTATGTTACTCACATTCACGATAATTAGTACCGATCCCAGTACAGGCCTTTTTGGAATCCCACTCGTCGCACTGGCGCATTCCAACACCTCTTCCCGGATAATCCTTCTCTTCCTCCCACTCAAGTATTCCCTCATAAATTGAAGTGCCTTTCCTGCCATTCCTGTCTGCGTCTCTTGCTTTTATCTCTTGTTCACTAATGTATCACAAGCCTTCTTTAAATCCTTACTGCATTCCCTCACTGCTGTTGTCTTGTGCTTGTTGTTTATGAGCCCTCCCCTACTTACCTTCTCTATAAACTAACATACTATGTGTGTCAATGACACTGATTTACATTTTAATGCTACCTGTCTTAAATATCGAGACTATGTCTTCTGTTTTCCACACCTCTGGTAGTTATCCTGTATCTGTTGTGTAGATGAAGATTTTGGCTAGTGGTTCACATAGTGCTATTGTCTCTCACAGACCCCACAGAGAGATATTGCCTGGTATCTAGCTCAGTACTGTTTTTTACCTCTTTTTCCTTTTGTGTATTTTAAGTCCAGTACTCGTTGCTGCACTCTTCTTCCACTCACAGAGTTACTGGGTTCGAGATTTTCTCCTTAGCCTCGCTTCCTATAGTCCTTTGATCGGTATCACTGACTTCTGCCCTCTTTTGCTGTATCATATCTATTCCTGAAGCCGCGCATTGAGTTTGCCATCTCTATGGCTCATCTGCATTTTCAGTTTCCATTTGTGACCTCTTGATCCAGGACATCTTAAGTCAGTCTGTCATTATCTGCCTAGCAGTTCCTCTTGTTTTGCATATATGATCATGGCCTCCCTTGTCTTTCTTCTGAAGTCGTCAGGTTCATTTCCTTAAACCTCTCCCCATAGTGTGTTCCTCTCAGTTCTGCTACCGTCCTGGTTGCAAACCCAAGGATATTTTCGAGTTTTTTCACATGCTTGATCAGATGTAAGATCCGTGTTGGGGTTGCGTACTGAGTGATTGATCTAACATATGTCGCACATAAGGTTCTGAAGGATTCTTTATTGATGTTATTGAGGTTACTCTTGCATATGCTGTTGCCGTTATACGTTTGCGTGAATTTCTGGTGATGAGTTTTATATTAACCCCAAGAGCCTTATCACACACTAATATATGCAGCTTGTCTCCGCTCATGCGGAGACAAGCTTTCCGCCCGCTAAAGCTCATTTTATCCGTCAATCTTATTTATAAATAAATGCTCTATAGTTTATTTCATTATTATAACTTATCTGTTGGTAGCTTAAAACATTTATAATTTGTGTTTCTTCCTGCAGTTTGCTTAGAAATTTTATATTTACTATTTCACGTATTTTTCATGCTATATTCATTTGATTTTTACCTTTTGGATTTAATTTTCTTTACGTAAATTTAAAATGAAGATTTAATTCCGCTTTACAATTTTTTTAAATTAAGTTTTCGAAGAAAAAAAAATTCCTCTCGTCTTCTCACAATGAATTCAGTTAGAAAGAGAGAGAGAGAGAGAGAGAGAGAAGAGAGAGAGGAGAGAGAGAGAGAGAGAGAGAGAGAGAGAGAGAGAGAGAGAGAGAGAGACTGAGACTGGTTTACGGTACTTAGGATAACCATAAAACTGTAAGGAGGAAGAGCTGCATGAAATTTTTAGTAACTCGAAATTTACTACCACAAGGACGCAGCTTCAACGAACATACCATCACAAAAATTCTTACAAAAAATGTTTTTATGAGGTTTTGGTTATAATTTAAAAAAAAAATAGCACGAAGAAATGTCTGTCCATGATTACTGACGTGTACTGGAAATTTTAGGAAATATTTTTAATAATATTAATAAATATATTTAAGCATTTAAATATTAAATTTCGTAATTAAAGCACCTTGATTAAACTGGGTTTTGTCATTTGTTCTAATCTGATCACAACCGATGCAATGCGTTCAGATTATCACCAAATCCCTTGTTACTTGTTACAAAGGTGATCTGAATCTTCTGTTTGGTGTACTTGAGCTTGACTTGCTGGAAGATGTTCAGCAGGGCTATTCTCCTTATTTTGTTTACTTATTAAGGACGTCTCAGATCAATTTCGAAAAATTAGAGAGCATAGAGAATGAATTTAAGGTTTTCTCAAAACTTTCCAACCAACACACTGTTGATCAAGCTACTATGGCTTTCCCCATGGTGGAGCTCATTCATCCGACGGTACTTCTCTGAGTCCCACTCGGATCAGACGCTCTCGGTGAAATTCAAGAAAAAAAATTCGCCGATTTTAACGGGATAGAAGACAGTATGGGTAGCTGTGATGCCTACGATATTCTACGTCTTCATTATACTTCTCTCACTCCCTAAGCTGATTTCCTTTACCAAGTATTCATCACTCAATACGATATCCGTCTGAAATCAACGCTAGAAAACGTTTTGAGCATTCACATCGGATTGGATGGGTTGAGAATCCCCAAAACTCGGCGGATTGAATCAGACAATGAATAGGTAAAGTTATTTCTTCTAGAATTACTGGCAGTTTAGCAGTGTTGACAAAGTGACATCAGTCCGTGGGATATTTTTATTGTTCTGACGAAATCATCAAGCTACAACAGACATTCGTGAAAAAGATCACTACAGCGATGCTCCAGGATGCGATCACCATCAGCCAGAATGGTCCGAAATCATACCTCAAACAGCAAAAAGAAGAATCTTCCAATACTCTTTGCACTGATAACATCACAAGGGATTACAATTTCATAAAATACAATGCACTACAGGGTACTGAGGGCAGAAATCCTCTTATGTGCGTGCATACCTCTGGAGATTCTTTGAATGATTCTCATCTCTGCTCCTGACTCGTGACTTGGCCCACAGTCCCTTCACAATTCACTAATATGACTCTGCCATTGAATACAAACGTGTTTGCAGCATGGTGGTAGCCAGTATATATAGTCTGCATGATATCAGCTATTTAAACTCCAAGGGATTAAACGCAAGAAACAGGTAAACAAATACTTGCTACAGCCCAGTGTTGAGTCGAGGAAGAAACTTGATCTCTCTCATCTCTCATCTCCCATCCTGCTACTTATCTTCCGTTGTACCACATCCCAAAGGTTTATTCCAAATTCTGATTCTACCATCTGCACGTCGCTGCAGATGGTAGAGTCAGACCAGTCGACGTTTTTCCAGTCTTCAGCAGTCCAGTTTTGGCGAGCCTGTACCCACTGTAACCTCAGTTTCCTGTTCTTAGCTGACAGGTGGAACTTGGTGTGATTTTCTGCTGCTGTAGCTCATGCACTTCAAGGTTTGACGAGCTGTGTATTCAGAGATGCTCTTCTGCATACCAGTGTTGTAACACATGGTTAGTTGAGTTACCAAAAGCTTGAATCGGTCTAGTCATTCTACTCTGACCTCTCATATCAACAAGGTGTGTTCGCCCATAAAACTGCCGGTCACTGGATGTTTTGTGTAGTTCACACAATTTTCTGGCGTTATTTAAACCACTCTGTCTTGCACCAACAATCGTTCTATGGTCAAATTCACTTAGGTCACATTTCATACTCATTCTAAGGTTTGATCTGAAAAACAAGTGAACGTCTTGATCACGTCTGCATGCTTTTAGGCACTGAGATGCTCTCACATGATTGGCTGGTTAGATATTTCCATTATCGATCAGGTGTATCTAATAACGTAACC